CAACCGGAACCGGAACCCCTTTATCAATCTCCTAAACCGTAACCTTTTCCTATATTCCCAGGCCTGAACCTATTTCCCTTATTCATTCAATCAATCCTGAACCGTAACCTTTTCTGATATTCCCTGAACTGACCTCCTTTTCCTTTACAGACAAGTAAGCTAATTCATTGATTGAAGAAGAAAATGAAAGAAGAATCAGTGTTTGAAAGAAGGGAGACTCCTTATGAATGAGAGTGAACTACTGAACCTGATTGAACTTCAAAATCAGTGTTTTATCTACATCTTTCGGACTGCTATCCTTGAACTTATACAGGAAGAGAAGAGGTCGGTCTTTCTTTGGTTCTTTCTCCTTCACCTGATTTTACGAGGTAAGTAAATAGGCTTTAAACAAATAGACTCACCAAGCGTAAATGTAAACTCATTCACCTTTCCAACTCGGTTGAACAATTTCATTGCCTGAACCTATCCTCTTTTCCTCGAGCTACTTACTCCCTCTCGCTATCGGTTCGAAATGTGGAGATACTTTTACCTTTACAGTCTCTCTCGCATATTCAATTCCTTCCTCGCTCCTTCGCTTCCCTTCCCCTTTCTCTTTTCCTTACTTCATAGCGTGACTCTCGATGTTCATTGGCCTGCGCCTGTAGCTGTGAACTTGACTGTCTGCTTGGTCTGTCTTTTTCCAAGTGAATTAGAGAGGCGGATCTGATTGGTACGCTATTTGCCGATCTTTCTTTTCGTGCGGGTGCCACAGAATGGGCGAAGATCACTAGAGAGCAGGGCCAGATCTTGATGTAGATAGGAGTTATCAAGCTGAGGGGAGAAGGAAGCTCACATTATGAAAGTTGAGGCTTGATTCTAACGGGTCTGTTAAAGTCTCCTTGCTACGACCTTTTTATTCATATCCCGTTAGTCACTTTTATATGTTGAGCGAGGGCCCTTCCACCCGCCACCGACCAAAGCTCTAATGTAGAGAGCTAACCTACTAGTTGGCTTACTTGCTTGTTAGAGGACTAGTTGGGTCGATAGAGGTGGTTCAATCTAACCTTTGCATTGATGTTTGGCATTCTCGAGACAAATGATGATTTTCTTACTCTCATTTTCTTTCACGAGGTAAATAGGCTGAGATTACCTCCTTAACTATTCTTGAACAAGGTAAACCATATTCAGTAGCTCTTTGATTGACTCCTCTCCCTATTTTTTCCTTCATTGAACTCGGTAAACAGGAAGGAAAGATGAAAGCAAGACAAGATGAATGATTACAGTGAAAGAATCCATGAATTAGCTGCTTTGAAAGACTCAAGAGTTTACGAACTGAACTACTGAACCTGAACCTGACCCTTTAGTAAATGAATGAAGAACCTTTACAGTCTTTGTTTGATTGAAGAAGAAGAAAATGAAAGCAAAAGAGAAAGACGAAAGCAAGATGAAAAGGTGAGACTGAACTCCTCCCCCTATCGGTCTCATGGCTCCGCTCCTTTTTTACCGAGAAAAAGATAAGAGATAGTTCAGGGAGAGGAAATTCCTTGCAGCGACTGAACAGGAAGGAATGGAGATGAAAGATTAATGAGACACTGAACCTTCACTCAAAGACTGTAAACAAGGGAAAGTCGAAACTCAAGATGAATGAATGAGACTTTACGGTAAAAGAAAAGAATGAGACAGATTGAACAGTAAGAAAAAAAGCAAGCAACTGAATCTCTATTCCCTGAGCAGCTGAGCTTCGGAACCGATATTACCTTCACCGGAACCTTTATCAATCTCCTTCTTCACCTTTACAGAATGAATTGAAAGAAGAAGAAAATGAAAGATTAATGATCGTTTACCTTTCTAAACCATAAGGAGACGAAAGATGAATGAGACTGAACTTCACTCCTTTACAATTCTAAATCATAAGACAAAGAGAAAGGAAAGAAATGAGATTAAGCGAAGCGACTAAACCTGAACAAAAAGATGAGAAGAAATTCAATCCGGAACCTCTCCAACTCGGTAAAGCTATTCCATTGCCTGAACCTCGTAAACTCGGGTTGAACTATTTGACGGTCTCGAATCTTTTCTTCTTCCATTCTCTTCTCCTTCACCTATTTATTCTTGAACAGAAACCTCGGTTGCTTCTTTTCCTTAGCTTTTGTTTTGTCTCCTGAACCTATACCTATTTATAACTCCTGAACCAGATGGAACTGTAAAGTGGCTTCGTTCGCTCCTGAACCTAAAAGTGTTGAAAGTCAAGACGAAACTCAAGAGGAATGAGACAAACTAGGATTATTACATCTTTCACTCTTTTACTCGACTGTAAACACTCCTTATTCATTCTTTCTCTTCCCCTGAACCTGATTGAACTCATGAGACAGATTTCCCTCGGTCAAGCTATTTGAAGAACCTTTCTTTCCAGGAGAGGAGAGAGAGTAAATTCATTAACAATCTGAAACAGTAGAGCTTTCAATTCATTCAATGCCTACACCTTTGACTCTACTTCCTCTTTTGCTTAGTGAGAATCTAAGGGTGACTCGAGAAGGAAGCTATCCATTTATGCCTTTGGGTTACGAGAAGAATAAATTAGGAGAGAAGCAGCTGGAAGTAAAAGAGAAGAATTATTATCATTGAGTTTAGTTGTTAGGGATGAGACTTCGTTTTTCTTTCACTCACAGTAAACAAACAAGGTGGCTTCGCTCCTCGCTTTAGTCCGTTTCTTCTTATTCTTTTTCGTCAGGTTTCTTTACGGAAGGAAAGATTGAATGAAACAGAATAGTAGGATTTAAGGAAGGAAAGAGAAGAGAAGAGGGGTTTGGTTCTTTCTCCTTCACCATAGAAGTTTAGTCAGCCTATTCTACAATGTCTTAAGATGTTAGCTGTTTTGGGTATTCTTTATTGGCATTTTGAATCAATAGGGAAAGCTGCGGGGATTGATTGATTGATTACCTACTGAACCTCAGACTCTTTTCTTTCCTATTCTATTGGTCACGCTTCGAACGGTTGTTTTTTCTCTTTCATTTGTTTCGTCTTTCTCTTTTGATTCCTTTTGGATTCTCGGCATAAAGAAAGAATCAGTCTTGTAATCAAATCATCATGAATGAAAGTAAGAAGTAATAAGGTCAGGTTAATAACTAATAAGGTAGTTCTCATCAGTAGCACTTTTTTTGTTTGCTTCCTCCTTTCTATCTTTACAAACGATTCTTCTTTCACTAGTAGGGTTTCGCTATTCTTTCCTCTCGCTAGAGGATTTCCCTTCAAAGACTGTAAACTCGGTAAACTCATTCACCTTTACAGAATAAGAAGAAGATAATATGAAATCAATACGAACAAACAAATACAGTTGAGTCAATTAAATCCTTTGTCTATATCTATTGGTTGAGTAGCTTCGCTCCGAAACCCTTTATTTAACCTGACCAGAACCTTATATTTTAATTCCCTCTTTATTCAAAGACAAGGTAACATAGGCTTCGCTACTTCTCTTTTTCTTCTCTTTCTCATTCACCTATTGGTTTCCCAATTCCATTACCTTATTCTGTTTCGAAAAGTTTAAGGAAAGATTAATTCGACTTTACTCGTTCACCTCTCTTATCTTTGTAACTAGGCTTTTTAAACAAATAGAATTTACAGGCAGGAGAGTCAAATAGATAGCTTGAGCTCGGCTCGGTTCCTAAGAATTAATCCTTCCCTCCCCTTATACTGTATTACCAGATTGAACTGAAAAAGCAGATGAGAGTCAGTAAGACAAAGAAGAATTTAGGGTAGAGCGGGGGATTCATCAAACTTACCTTCTCCTTGACCTGTCGATAAAGCAATTCTACTATATGCCGGAACCTGAACAACCTTTACACGGTCTCTTTTCTTTCCTCTCGCTATAGATAGGTCGTCTCGAATCTCTTTTCTTTCTCTTTATTCTAGTGTGAGTTTTTTTTTCCTTTACCTTTGACTGTATTACCTTCCTCTTTTGCTTTCATTTTCTTCTCTGACTGATTAAACTTCTATCTGAAATACCTTTTTTTTTCACCTGTAGAGATTGGGTTGGCGTGAAGTGAGCGACTTCCCCTGTATTCCCTTCCCTTAACCTATTTACTACCTTATTCAATTGAACTACTGAACCTATTGCTATTTCTTCCTTCTCCTATGGATTCTTGAACAGTAAACTCGGGGTAAAGAGTAGGCTAATTGAACAAACTCTTTTTCTCTTCTGTAAGAAGGATGAATTCGACTCAAGCTTAACCCTTTTGATTGAACGAGGTAAACAACTAGAGGAAAAGAAGAAGAAGAAACCGACACCTTGAACTTGCCTGATGTCCCTTCCCTATTTATTCCTTCCAAAGGCAAGGTAAGGTCAAGCTGCTAACTCATTCATTTATTCAAACAAAGACGGTAAACTCTCTTTAATCTTTCATCTACCTTCTTTCTCTATCAGTTACGGTTCAGGATCATTAAATTTCTTTCTTTCTCTTTCCCTTCTGGCATTCTCTAACTAAAGGTGAAGTAGCGAAGTAATGAGACTGACAATGAATAGGTTCTGGTTCATGAGCTAATCCTTCTTTTTAAGTTCAATATGGTTCAGGAGCAGGAGTTCATTTATTAAATAGGTTCCCCGCCTGGGACGGGAATAGAGATTCTGGTTTAGGAGTTGATCATTAATCTTGTCGGGCTTCACAGCAGTCTCCCTAATTTCATTCTCTTATCTTTTCTTCTTCGGTAAACAAGGGTTGGTTGAACTACTTCTCTTTCATTTTCTTCTGATTCTTGCATGAATTTACTCGACTCTCAAGTGAGGGGAATAGGGGTTCAGGAGTAAGTAGAGAAGCAGATAGTTTACGAGGGTCGAAGATGCGAGACAAAGGAGAGGAGCGAAGCGATGAGACACGAATAGTTAGGCGAATGAGCGAAGCGGCTCGACCAATAAATAAATAGGGGAGCGAAGACATGAAACAGACAGTTCAAGAAGGGGGAGCCGAAAGAGCAGAGGTTCAGCAGAATGAATAGGAAAGGTGCGAAGCAGCTCCACGAGAAGACGAGAGGAGTAAAGTAAGTAGGCAGAGGAGTTCAATCGAATTAAAGGTTCAGGTAATATCAGGGAAGGAAGAAGCCACGAGAACGAGTTACATCACCTAAAAAATAGGGAGAGGTTAGGTAGTTCAGTCGAATAACAAACACAGAAAGGAATAAAGGTTAATGAGTTTACTGTTCCAGAAGCGAAGATAGTAATAATCTAATATAGAAGGGGCTGGTTCAGCAGCTTCTCTTTCTTTTTCAGTTCAATCTGGTACTGGATTTCATGAATTGACTCTCCTGTAATCTTCAATCAATTCCTTCTCTGAGGGAAGGAATAGAGGTGAAGAAGAATAGTCCGTCCAGTTTACCCTGTTCATTCTTTTTCAGTAGCTAATCCATTATAAGGTTAAGGTTCCCGTACTCTCCCTCCTGGAAAGTCGAATTAATCTTTCATTTCTCCCCTCCCTTCAATCAATTCTCTTGTAAAGCAACTAATTCATTGACTCGACAGTAAAGAAAGGAATATCTTCTTTCATTCTGGTCAGGTTCAGGTCAGAGAATAGATAGAGGTGAACGAGAGAATAGGAACAGACAGGAGTCAACTCTCATGAATAGTGAGTTGAGTCTTAGTTTAGAGAGAAGCCGAGGTGAAGTAGCGAAGGTCATATAGGTTCAGTCAGGGGCAGGAGTGAAAAAAAAGTAAGAAAGAAAGAGTTGTTCAGTCTCTCTCTGGACTTCCAATGTAATTACCTCATACATGGCCCTAAACATAAGGAGAGGTGATTGAGCGGATCATCCTGTTGCTTTACCGAGTGAAAGAATAGTGTTTGAATAACTAACCATAACTGCACAAGGAGTTAAGGATCATGCGGCTTGAGTGGAGTCTCTTTCCTTCCGACAATGAATAGGTGAAAGAATAAGCTTTACCCCGAGAGTTCAATGACAGAAAAAATAGGGAAGGAATAGAATAAAAGGGTCAGGCAGGTTAATCAGTAATAGTCTTGTTCTGGCTGACGAATCTTTCTTTAGTCTTGACTCGACTGTCACAGTAGCTCTTGTCTTGCTTGATGAGTCTCCCCTCACTGTAAACTCTCATTCATACATAAGGAGTCTTTGTTTACAGCTCAATAAATGGATGATGAAAGATCTCTCTCTTCTTTAATGATTATTTCCTTGTTATTAACTCTTAGTTGTCCTTACTCTCATCTGATTTAAGGAAGAAAAAGAGAAAGGGGGAGAGGAAGCAGTGAGAACGAGTTTACTACTGTTCAATAGGAAAGGAAAAAGAGCAGCTTTACATGAGAAAGAGCAATTCAAGAATCAAAATAGTTGGGTGCCTGGCTTATGAAATACTCAAAATGACCAGAGTGCCTAACCCTTGAGGTGAGGTCCAGGGCATTGATAGGGAAATGTACGCGCACGCACTTGGAGTCGTTTCAGATGCGATTAAAAAGCCTTCCTTTTACAGCAGAGAGACTACTACATATACTAGGATGCGAATAGAGATGCAGAAGGTCTTCTTCAGTTAGAGGTTAAGCAGTTTACCAAGAGGAAGATGTCAATAGAGATAAGGTCGGATGTTAGAAGGGAAGAAGCGAAGACGAAGAGTAAGGAGAGAGAGAGAATTGACTCGCCAGTAATGTAATGCCTTTTGAGAGGAGCCAAGACGAGGTGATTCAGTTTAGGCAAGAGAAAGACTACTACTATCTATTTACCTCATTCAAGAAGGCAAGGGAATAGTAGAGGGTCAGGTTTCTTCCTCTTTTCTTACAGTTCCAGAAGAGAAGGGACAGGAGTTTACCCCTTTCAATCCGGGAAGGGAATAGGAATAGAGGTGAATGGGCAGTAGTTCTGTCTCATTAATCTCTCATTCATAACATAAAGAGTTTCGGCTTTCAAACACTGTCAAGCTGCTAGCTCCTTCATTGATTCAAAGACTGTAAACTCTCTTTAATCGTTCATCTACTTTCTCTTTCACTCTTTTTACGATAAAGACCATGAATGAATTTTGTCTATCTTTCCCTTATTTTAAGGGCCATAGGTAATGTTGTATTAAGTCAAGAAGAAAGGAAAGAAAGATTAGCTCATTAACCTCTCCAACTCGGTTTCCCTATTCCATTGCCCTCACCGGAACCTATCCTTTCCAGTTCTAGAATCAATATAACTGCTTTTCAAGACGAAAGAAAGCAAGACAAGACAAGATGAATTCTCTGGGGAACCCCTATTACCAAACAAACACCTATAATTATCGAGTGAAAGAAAAGAGCTACTGAATATGCTTTACCGTCGGCCGAGTTCAATCAATCCATAGGACAAAGAAAGTCAATGCTGAATTTAATCCCATACCATAGAGATGAGAAATCTTGATCTGATCCTTTCGTTCTCTTCTTCTATTCCTTCTCAATTCTAATTCTTTAGTTTCCCCTTCTCCTGTAAGAAAGATTCGTTAGACTGACCGAACTTCACTCCTTCCCCTTTGCCTTTGACTCTATATACCTGACCAAAGACCTACTCGTTCAATCAAATAGTGAACCCTGAACCTATTCATTGTCGGTCTCTTCTCTTGATCCTCTTCATTCAGTCTCATTCACCTTTGACTGATTAAACAAGGTAAATAGAATAGGTGTTTTCATCCCTGTCCTTCTTGAAGAAAGACTCATCAAGAATTCCCTGCCAAACAGGGTGCAGTTCTTGTGAGTTATTCAAGAATGAGAGTGTGAACTGTGTTAGTCAAGACTCAACATTAATTATCCTGATTGAACAAGGTAAAGGTAAAAGAGACAAAGAGAAAGGAAAGAAAGATAAGCTCCATCACCTGATTGAACAAGCAAGGTCAAGCTCCGTAACCCTATTCCATTGGTCTCAGTCTGTAGGTCTGTGTTTGTTCCTGAACCTTCACCCACACATCCTTTATGGTATCTTCTTCTTCTTTACTCCTGAAACTGAAAGGAAAGACGAAACAAATTCAATCAAGATCAGCTACCTACCTTCTTAAACTAAAGCAAGCACTAAGTTTAAGTAGTTCTTTCACTCCTTCCCCGGAACCGTCACTTTCTTTACCTTTCTTTACAGTTCAATCAAGGTTCAGACTCAAGAAGAATTAGACTGAACTACTGAACCAGCCCCTGTCTATCTCGTTGCTACGCTCCTTAGCTTCTTTTCAAGACTCAACCAACAATCAGAGAGACTCCTGATTCATTAGACTTCTCCTACGGATTCCTTTGGACAAGAAAATCCTGCTGACGTCATTGAACAGTAAACTCTTCTCCTCTTCGTCTCCACTTCTGAACTACTGTTACTGAACGAACCTCTCTCTATTCTCCTATGAATTCTTATTATTTCTCCGGAACTGTAAGTAAAGACTGAGGATGGATGCATTCTCCTTCCCTACTTCACCTTTACCTCTAAACTATCATCAGGTCATGCTCTTTCTTCTATGTTCTTTCTTCTATTCGCTACTAACCAACTGGAACCAGATTTAACTGTTCTTGATCCCTTGAACTTGGGTTTCTTTCACTCTCTCAGTAACATAGGTAGGCTGGCTTGGCTGGCTGGCTTCTCTCCGTTTCCTGATTGAACTAAGCGAAATAGTTCTTATTCTTTCTCCTTCCCCTTTATTATTTTATGACTTGAGCTCTTGAATGAAACCCTGATTTCTGGATTTCACTCTTGAACGGCTCATGAGCCTGCCCCCGAACCTATATGACCTGTGAGCTGCTGAACTTGTCCCTTCTCTTTCACTCTGGAATTCGACTGTAAGCAATGACTCCTCTCCGTTTAGAGCCATTTTTAGTAGAGGTAATTACATTGGAAGGAAATAAGGGAATGGAACTGTTTGTGTTGTGATCCGTAACTTGATTTCACTGTCAACTCCTGTGCTGGCTGGCTATGACTTCTTTGCCCGGGGTCAAAATAGAATAATAGGTTACTTTCTCCTGTCCTTTCCAGTCTCGTTCGTCTCACTACTTAACTTACTCCATGAGTAACCCTATTCAGTGAAAGAGGAAAAGACAGTGAGAGTAAGTAACCCTGCCTGCATTGGACTGAATTCGACTTAACTATTGAACCTGACCCGGAACAAAGCCGAAATGAATCATTAGACTTTAAGTAAAGACCATTGATTAGGAATTGTCTACTTTCCCTGTAAATAAAAAGGCCAGATTGAACTATTCAAAGACTGATCCTATTGATTCGTTATTGAAGCAGGAGGTAAACAAAGAAGACTGAACCTCAAACCTGCTCTTGGCTTACCGTATTACCTGACCTTCAGTCAAGACTCGAGAAAGATGAATTCATTCTCCTTTACGAGGAGAGGCACTCTGCATGGGACTGAATTCTCCGGTTCCTTCACTCGCATATTCAATCTTTACTTGCTTTCACTCTTGAACAAGGGAACTTGGCAAGTTGGATGAGAAGAAGGTCAAGCTCCGGAGCCTATATTATTCTTTAACTTCTCTTGCTTGATCCTTTCCTTTCTTTTACTCTGCTGCCTGTAAGAAAGAAGAATTTCGGGTTCACTCAATCACTTGTCTCTTTTGAACAAAGTAAGTAAAGCGTCTGGATAGAAGGTCAAACTCCTACACCTTCTGGAACAGTAAACTCCTGGACTACTACTACTACTATTACTGATTAACCTTCTGGCTTCTCTCTCTCCCCCTCACCTCGGCTGGCTGATTGTGATCTTTTTACAAGGGTTGGGTAAAGCGTCTTGTCTTCTTCCTTCTTTCTTTAACTTATTCATTCTATGGGTCTCTTTTCTTAAACAAGGTAAGTCAAGACGAAAGCAGAATTATCCTCTACAGTTCTAGTATCAATGAATTAGTAGCTTTACAGTGGAGCTACTTACTCCGGAAATGAATGAAATCCTCTTCTCTTGGTTCGATCGAGTCTTATTGGTTCTTTCTCCCCCCTCAAACACAGTCAAATTAGCGTTTTATATAGTATAGCTTATAGCTGCTGTTACAGGAATATGTAATAGTAAGAAAATCAGGCTATTGGCTGCATGCATCTTCCGTCGTCCTATTCTTCTTGAACTAGGGTTTCACTCTAAACAAGGGGTAAAACATCTTCTTCCTTCACCTTCTTTCACAGTAAGAAGAAACCAAAAAACTCTCCTCCCTATATTACTTTCCCTAAGCGCACCTCGC